CCGCCGGACGAGCCCTTGTGGTTGCCGCCCTTGCCCGAGTCGGTGTCCTTGCCCTTGCCCTTGGCCACGTTCTTGTTGGATCCAGCGCCCTTCTGCGGTTGCGGCATGGTCGAGTAGGCTTCCGGATGCGACGACGCAAATGTGAAAATGAGCTGTCTCAATCAGGCGCGACCTGGGGATCGAAACTGCCCGATCTTTGACGCGTCGCCGATTGGCCACGTAAGTAGCCGCGGCGCTGTGATTGGCTACTCGTGCAAACGTTCGGCAACGGCTAAAAACACCGCGTTTAGAAACCCACGCTATTTGTTGCGCTCAACCGCCACCCACGAGTACCTGCGAATGGTCGATGCTCCAACGAAGTAGCTCGCGACTCGTCGCTTTCTATAGTGCTGACTTGCTGACGGGTGGCAAGCGCGGTATCCACTCTTAGGTCGTTTGCACTCAGACCTGACAGACTGTTGACGACAGCCGTTTGATCGTGGTGTGGTCCTATGACAGATTAATGGTTCTCGGACTGTCCTTGGGGCCAAGCATTACGGGGTTCATTTGGCGCGAAGCGGGTGTGTAAGGTCTAGCCCAAGGTACTCGTTCGCAGAACCTGAAAAGGAAACCAGGAAACAAGTCGACGGCAGCTTGACCACTTGTGGTCGTGGTCGAGCAGATTCGCAGTGACAGAAACATCGTCGTGGCGAATGTAAATCCTGCCTTTGGTTGCATGCCAACCAGTAGGCTGTATCTTCCTGCATAGTTCACTGGAGGTATCGGATTCGAGTGCAGAATAAGGGGAGTCGTACGCTGCGACGTTGAATGGGCCAACATTATACGACCCGTACGAGGGCACGGACAGACCAATGTTGTTGGTGTACGAGAGACTCCACGACGTCAGGTTTGTGCAGTCTAACGTAGGTTCACGCCACCGACCAGCGCCTACACAAGCATATCGATTGTCGCTGCTGGCGTTGCCAAGGCCACATCAAGGACGGCACCGAAGCTCGTGCCTCACAGACTTGGCTGGAAGTAGCATATTTGGTCGCGACAAAAGAGAGCGTTTGGATTGCTGGCATTGTCGTCGGCACAACCATGCGGTTGGCCAAGTTGGACTTGTTGGTGGCTTGCAGGCTTTGGTCGGCGACGACGGCACAAGCCTATTGCAAGAGGCAGCTGGTCGCAAAAGCTTTAGTGGCAAAGCAAATCCAGCGTACGACAACAGCGGCATCGCTTGGAAGGCATGGAGCACCGACAGCTCAGAACTTACGCCGCGTTGGTAGCGGACGCGCTCAACGCGCATTGTGAGTGTCCTTCTAGTTCAAACCGCACCGCTGAGCACGAACGCCGTGCTGGTGATCACCGGTGGCGGCAAGCGTTGTTTCGCGGTGGCCGTCGCGAACGCTGACGGAACCGTCGGCAATGGCAACGGCATCGCAAGGTTGGGGAATGTCAGCGAGATGATGCACAAGGGACGGCAAGTGGGCACAACGAGGTGATAGACGGACTGCAACGCGTAGTGGAGACCGCTTGACGCGCTGCTCGAACGACATGGTGAGCTTCAGTCGACCATTGTCGAGTTGAGCGTGCACTGGTAGTTGCTCATGTACGAGTCGTATAGTGCAAAAGGTGCCATCGACTGGAGCGACGTGGGCACACACGGTGCTTGATGTCTCCATTGCACGGACGTAATCAACCTCGGGACCAAGCACCGAGCAGCGCCGAGACGTTGGCGTTGATGGCCGCCCAGGAGCTGAACAAGAGCGACGTGCAGTGGAGGCAGTTGGCGCCAACTCATGGCAATAAACAAAATGCAACCATTGATTTGGCACAGGCACTAGGGCTATCTACGCCGATGGAAAGGTGATGGTGCCGTACATGGGTAGCGGCGCTGGCGACGGCTGGAACGGTGTCGGTGCGGCGGCTTGGTACGGGAAGCCGTACTTGACGGCACTGAGCGGCAAGACCTCGTAGTATTGCGACGATGGATTCGCATTGACAAGCGACGCGGTCACAGACGCAGACGAGACAATCGTCAGCGTTGGCAGGGGCCCAATGTAGTTGCTGTACGTTAGCTGAATGTACCACATCGTGTTGGTTTCTTGCGATGTCGAGAGAGACACAGTGCCCAAAGACTTGAACATCGCTTGGAGCTGGCTCGCGAGCACGGACGACGACGAGTAGAGTGAAATGTAGTCGATACGACCAAGGAAGGCGTCGAGGAGGCGGAACTCGAGGCTCACGGACGCTGTGAGGGCCCCCGAAACGAGGATCTTCTGGTAGCCAGGCGTCACCGAGGTCACGAGACTCCGACCGGCCGAGATCTGGCTCAACGTCGGTCCGACCGGACACATGTTGGTCCCATAGCAGCTCCAATACGCGAGGTATGGGGCCGCCCTCGCCAGCGACACATTCGTTAGGCACGATGAGACGTTGATGCTCTGCGTCGCGTAGAGCCCGGCGGACGTGGCGGAGAAGGTCCCGTTGTACATTTGTTGCATCGCTTTTTCTGCCTCGGCGCACATGAACAAACCGTAGCAATTGAGCGGGCTGAGGTTGCAGGTTGCTAAGTGCTGCATGCAGCGGGCACACGCCGCTAAGCACAAGGTGAGACCGCTGAATTCCATCGTCGAAGAGGAACGTACGGCTTTGGACAATCTCCGGGTTCACGTTGTTGCCCGTGGTATTCGCAGGGATGAGCTGAAGCACTTGCGACGCCGACCGCTTGAATGTCGAATAGGTTTCGTTGCACGCGATATCTGGTAGCGACAGCGGCAGAATCGAGTGCGGAAAGTACATCACCAAGTAGCACGGCACCGTGTTGGAGCAGTCGAGATACGCTGCCGGCTTCATCGTTGCGTTCCACTTCGACGCCAGCGCATACGTGGCGTCAAACGACGACATGGAGTTGTTGTAGTCGAATGACATGGCTGAGCTGTTGATGTTCACCGTCACGTTGAGGGCCGGGTACGTCAACGTGAGGTTGAAGTTGGTCGTTCGGTTGTAGATCATCACCATGTGCATTTCGTCACTCGCGACAAGCACGGGCACCAACGGCGCATTCGGTGGCGTCTTGACCAGTGGGCATTGATACTGCGAGAGACACGAGTGGTAGAGACCAAAAACGGACGCTGCACGCGCCGGGGTCCCCGCTGGTACGCTGCGCGCGATGAGATCCGAGACGTCGATGAAGCTTCCGTTGCCGGCGTTGATCATGCTGAGGATTGTTTGGTTCATGTTGCGCTGGAAGTCGGTCATGAGCTGTCGGCAGCTCGGATCGGGCCCGCAGTACGTCTGCAAGAAGGCGCGGCACTGGTCGCACACTACACAAAAGATGAGTTGTTGAATAGCGTTTCTTGGGAGCGTACTGGACGTCATGTTGGTGGCCTTGAACATGTCCATGGGCATTGGCGCTCCCGCTGCAAAGTACTTGAGGTTGTACGGCACGACCTGCAG